CAGAATGGTTTGATCCCTATCCAGCTGAATTCCTGAGAGGAGACGAAATCCAGGTCTCCTACTCCTCCGCCATCTTGCTCCGCCCTGTTACATAAGCTTTTATTTTCCTCCTCCTGCCTTTGGTTCTGCTTCGAAACTGAGCTTTATCAAAAAAAAAAAAAAAAAGAAAGGAAAATAGGAAAGAAAGAAAGAAACCGAGCTTTATCTCATAGTTCTGTGCCCAGTTCACTGGCATGTGTGTATAGTATCCACGTTACAGTGTTCCCACCATGAGAATGACAGCTTTATGTTTCTTTTCAATCATTTTTTATAGTTCTCGTTTGGGACCTTCTCTTATGAGATGTGATATCCTTTCTTTCTTTTGCTCCCCGAGCACCAGTATCACTGGTCTTTTCTTTGCAAACTCACAGTTGTTTCCATTTCATCCAAGATACCTTTAAGCTTCTGTCTCCTTGTTTCTTAATTCCATCCACATTTGATGACCATAGTTACTTTCCCCAGAGATTTCCAAATATAGGTGCTAACTAAAGATTTCTAGAGGACTCTAACTTATGGCTGTAATATCTGTAACACCTACCTGGTAGATATTAGCTCTCCCCCAGTGGATAGTGGACCTCTGGTTGGACTGTGGTCTTGCATAGCGTATGATATCTGTTGCCTGTTGTAGAACTCCCATGATGTTAAGTAGTTATCATCTTCTAAGCTTGTTGGACAAATGTGCGACAAATATAAAAGCCTTTCCAGTCACCTTTCTTCATTACCTAACTTGGCATGGTCAGTGGAGCAGATTGTGGTATTTAAAATAAGCTATTCGGGCGCCTGGGCGGCTCAGTCGTTAAGCGTCTGCCTTCAGCTCAGGTCATGATCCCAGGGTCCTGGGATCGAGTCCCACATTGGGCTCCCTGCTCGGCGGGAAGCCTGCTTCTCCCTCTTCCACTCCCCCTGCTTGTATTCCTGCTCTCGCTGTCTCTCTCTCTGTCAAATAAATAAATAAAATCTTTAAAAATAAATAAATAAAAATAAAATAAGCTATTCAACCTGTCTCTTACAGAATTCATATAATTTACAGGCTGCTCATTGTTGAGGTGGTAATGGCTTCTTGTTCCGGTCCTCTGATTAATGACCAGTCATTGTAGAATGTATTCCTTCCATAGATACTTAATCATTCTTTGAAGTATTCTGGGGGGTGGTGAAGGGAGGAGTAGCATGGGCCAGGAACTCTGATGTTTATTCAGTCAGATTAATTCTTTATATCTTAGACCAGATAATTTATGGAGAGTTTCTGTAATTATGATTTGTTCTTATATCATCCAAATTGGTCAAAAATGTTTTACACTAAAATCCGTAATTCTTACCCAACTCAGAGAATTTGTCAGTTTCACCCTTTGGTACAAATAATTAACCCCATGTCAACCATAAACATACTAAATGTAAAAAATTGAATGATTTAGCAATTTTTTGCCTTCTTTTTATTTTCGTCAAAGAAGAGATCTATCCTTATTCTCTTTAGAGGGGAAATAAAAAACAGGAATCTGATTTATATGATCATTTTTGTTCCTATCAGGTTTTCCCATAGCCAGCATCATTTATTTATTTATTTATTTATTTTGGGGGAAGCTAAGTGATTATGAATGTGTCTCCTGAAACTTTTAATTATGGCCTGGCATTTAAATATGGTTAACTAGAGAGCAGATTTATATCAAATTAATTCTTAAGTAGTTTCTTAACCAAAATTTATGTGTTTGTCCAAATAAATGCCAACAAATTTACCAAGATTAATCAAAAGCAAAAGCAAACCATTTAAACTATAAAAAGGTGGTGAGTAATTGACTAATAGAATAAGAGTTGTATATTTACTTTAAATGCAATATATTGTAGAACATTTGCACTTATAATTTACTTATAATTTTCATGCAAGGAATGTAATTTGCAAGACATTTGAAGAAATCAGTAAGTTGAAGTATACCTTTAGTGGCTACAGATCGGCATTAGTCCATTCATTAATGTTCCTCACTGCATTAGAAGTTAGAACGGTAAAATTGAGGAGAACTAACTGGCTTGTAGAGGGTTTGAACTCGTGGCCTTACCTCATGCTTTAACACTGAAAATCATAAGCCTCTTGTTAATTTTAGGAGTCAAGCCAGAATAATTATTACAAGTAGAAAGGTAATTAGTTCTAGATCAGAATGATGCCTTAATTATTTTATAAATTTAATTTTGGGAGCACAGAGCTGGGAATTTTAACATTTGCTGTATTTCCTCTTGTTTTTTTTTTTAATTTTTTTAATTTTTTTTTTTTTTAAAGATTTTATTTATCTGACAGAGACAGCGAGAGAGGGAACACAAGCAGGAGGAGTGGGAGAGGGAGAAGCAGGCTTCCCGCTGAGCAGGGAGCCAGATGCGGGGCTCAGTCCCAGGATCCTGGGATCATGATTTGAGCCGAAGGCAGACGCTTAATGACTTGAGCCACCCAGGCGCCCCATTTCCTCTTGTTTTTAAACCTAATTTTTCTTTGTGGAAAGAGTGGAAGGTATTCCTTTTTAAGGGATATGCTTTTAAAGTTACTTAAAATAACATGTTTTTAAGCACATGGAGTACATTTCTTAGAGTATGTTTAATTTCAAAGAGCTATTTTGATTTTGCTCATATGCCCATCCATATATTATCAAAATCCAAAGGGACCAAAATGTTGGTTATGCATCTGAATGGTTTCTTTGTGTTGTATTTGAAGTACATTTGGAAATTTGATGTTTATAGGTGACATCTTTTAATTTTACATGTTTTATATCCATTGAATATAAGTAAGGACCTCAAAAATTTGTTTTCACTGCTTCTAAGTACATAAGCACCGTTATTTGTTCTATAATTACATTTATTTCTGATAATAATTTTCTCATATTTCAATTTTAGGCTAAAAATCTTATAGAGAGATTTTTTAATCAACAAGTAGAAGTTCTAGGCAGACGTGCAGAGCCATTGCCTGAAATATACTATATTGAAGGTACTCTCCAAATGGTTTGGATTAATCGCTGCTTTCCAGGGTATGGAATGAATATACTGAAACATCCAAAATGTCCTGAATGCTGTGGTATGTAATGAACTGTAATTTCATGGTTTATATTTATGAAAATTCACTTCTTTTCATGATACCTAAGTGAACGCCTATTACTTAGTTTTACTATCATTTAGATATATCTCTAGCTTATTTGAAGCAGTGTTTGAAAAGACTGCGTGAATCTGAAGATCTAAAAGAAAAAAAGCTGGCTTAATTTCAGCCTTTGTATTAATATTACAGTAAAGGGGTTGGCAGTTCTCTGGGAGGAAATGCAAAGAATAGGTGTGAGTCAGTTAGAGCTACTTACCCTAACAGGAGCCTAATGATGTATTGTTTTGAATCAGTTATTGATGAGTTTACATTTGTATAGTCTAGACTAGGTATAGTTTTACCCTTTTGTAAATTAAGTATATGAATTGTTTTATTAGCAGTTGTTTTTTCTGACTTTTGATTCTAGCTCTAAGGGGTCTGAGCGCTCTCTGGCTTTCATCTGTCTTTTCCTTATAATAGAAGAGTTCTAAGGCTGTTTAGGATGAGTTAATTCATGGATTCAATGTCTTTGAATTTCTGTTTTCAAAAGTTGAATAAGGCAAATAATCTTCAGTTTTATTTTATTTTTTTATTATGTTCAGTTAGCCACTGTATAGTACATCATTAATTTTTGATATAGTGTTCAATGATTCATTAGTTGCATATAACACCCAGTGCTCGTGACAACACCTGCCCTCCTTAATACCCATCACCCGGCTACCCCATCCCCCCCACCCCCCTCCCCTCTGAATCTTCAGTTTTAAAGGGCTTTCTAATAGCAACATCAGTAAATTAGTATCATTATCATTCAGTCTTCTGATTGTTTTTTTCTTCTCTCTTTCTACAATCTTAAATTAGATAAAAATCCTTTTCATATAATAGAGCACTAAATATTCTTTTGCTTTGCTTTATTTAATTGGCTAGATTTTACTTTTAGGTTTTTTTTCTGACTTAGTTTTTTGTTAAAGGATATAAAATTTGACAAAATGTACTTGAAAACTTAGGAAATATGCCACAGATGTAACAAACAAAACACTTACACAGGTCAACTTTGTAACTATTTTGATGATCTGTGATTATATAGATCACTTCAGAGCACAGATAATGATGAAGAAAGCCTGGAAAACCAAACAGTGAAACCAGAACCTGGTAGTTTAGCTGTCTATTAAATGAATTTATATTTTCACTTAATAAAGACCTAAGATAAAGTAAAAAAGTTTAAATGTTTGTATCATTAATTCCAAGAATTTTGAAATAGTTAAGCATACCTCTTTCAAGTGAAACAATAGGGTTCAATCTCTGAGAAGCGCAAAAATTTTAGTACTAAAATGTTTTTGCATTTATAAAATTTTGGATAATAATACAGTTGTCAGATTCTCTCATTTTACCACGTAATTGTAACATTCAGTTTGTTATGCATTGTACTGTTTGATGAAGTTATTAAGCAGTTATTTTACTCCTGACAACAGACCCCATGGGGAGTATGTGATGAAACTGACAAATCTCAAAAATATTTTCTGCCTCCTATTTTGCTCTCCCAGAAACATGGCCTCTGCCCACAGAGTTTAGAGACAGGGGAGATGCAGCCATGGAACAGTTAGGGAGCAAGAGGTCTGATAAGCCACAGGAAAGAGAGTAAAAAGGAGATGATATTAAGGAAACGGAGTTACAGATGGCTTGGGTCTCAGGGGGTGTGGTTGAGATATCGCCTTCAAGGTGATGTTGGACTTGAGGTAGAACTTTAAAGATGCAGGGGTAGCGGTTACTCTCCAAGCTGGGGCTGGAAGGAGCATCAGGTTTCTGGGAGAGTTTTGCATAACCTGGGCTAGAGGAGTAGTGTCAGAAGAGCTGTGGGCTTAGCGGGGCTTAGAGAGCAAAGTGGAATAGCTCAACTTCAATGTGGCAGCAGGAGTCATATCTTTGAGTAGAGGACAGAAATAAATTTATTTTTTGAATTTTATGGGGTCATTATCATTGCTCGGTATATACTTATTAACTAGAAATTTGCTAAATTTCATCTTATGCCATCATACAGTAAATAATTTAGAATTACCTTTGTGCTGTTATCGTCTGTTAGACGAACGAAGCGAGACTGAGCTTGCTTTTTGAACAGAACTCAGTCTAATGTGACCATCATATACGGTGGTTTTTGTCTATATTACACAAGGCCATCACTCCAAAATTTTGAGAGCACATACTACTCAAAAAGACATGTAAATCATTCTTTGAATTGGAAGGCAGTATAAAATATAACACTAGTTACAAGACAAAATTAACATATTAAATGAACTTCATTTGAGTATAAAGTGGAATACTAGAAAGAAGCAAATAAAACACACGAGGTACTTCGTAAAACCACTTATTTCCAGAACGAAGATACTACGAGTTTATGTTTAACAAAGGAGATTGACTGGGACATGAATGTTCATTATATGAGAGAAGGTTATTTACTTTCTCAGCAGTCAGTGAAGTGAGCAGTGGGTGTTTTCTTCTCTTTTTGATGTCTTACTTTACTCATGCAATTTTACTTGTAGATGACAGGTAAAGATTGCTTGCTGATAAACTAGTGGAGACTTAACATTTCTACCTGTGTTCTTCATTTCTAATTTGTTTAGCATTTTAAATTAATTTTCACTGTAAAATACTTCTCTAATTTCACATTTAGCATTGCTTTTATTATATGCATGATTTTGTCAATCATTTTAGCACTGAAAAAGAAGATTCTAATTAAATTGTGAATTATAGATGTCTCATAATTTCATAAATTATATCATGAAGATAATACAAAACCAAAGACCAGTTAGAGTATTATATTGTTTTCTGATAGAATTTTTTTAAAACACAGATTCTGAAATATGATTTCCTGGTAATTTCTGTAGTTTCTGTTATTTCTGTAAAACTCTGCATCTCTTGGTTTTTATCTTCATTTTATTCTTATCACCTCAAAAAAAAACCCACTTGTATGTTAAATAACATTTTTTGACATAATATCCCACGTCACCTTCTTTTTCTTCCTCTTAAAATTATGGCAGTGGTTTTAAAACTCTGATGTGTACCAAAATTACCCAAAGATTTTTTTCAAAAATAAATCAAGGTATGGGAAGCAGATATCTACATCTGTCACAAGCTTTCTAGGTGATTCTGATGCATGTGGAAGTTAGAGATTCCTGAGTGTTAGCGTGGGAATGGCAGTAGCTGGTAAAATGCTTGCCTGTTCGTGTTTGTATGGTAACACCTCAGGGAAGTGCTTGAATACTAGCATTGATAAGGCAGTGCCTAGATAAGATAACTTTCCTTCTACATGGATTGTTGAGGATCGAATGTATAGTTCAGTAATAGTTTATGCAATATTGTTAATTTCTGTTGCTTTCTTTATACTTAAGATTTGCTGTTGTACATTCACACTTTTGGGAATCCCAGGAAGACTCAAGCAAGGAGCTCTTTGATAGTGATACAGTGTCTTTGTGAGTGGTCAGAAATAATTAGGTTACAGGTTAGAGTATTTAAACATCTTGAGATGATTTTATTAATGAGGTGATTTTAGTAATAAAGTCCTTGTGTAACTTTATACTTTATGCAGTGAAAGTGAATTGTTTGGTAGGTAGAGTTGTTTTTAATAAGATCTTTTAGATTCTGAAATTTATTCTGCTCAGACATGCAAACCCTCAACATTTGTTTTAATTTTAAATCCAAAAACCAAGAAAAATAATGATTAAAAAAAGCCGATATCGACAAACACAATTGAAGGCAAGAAGTCTCACCATATACACAGAGGGCATTACATGATGATAAAAGGATAAATCTATGAAAGAAGATTATATATTATTACTAAATTTGTGAATACTTAATAAATAACATAGGTTTTAAATACGTAAAACAAATATTGTCAGAGAGGTAATACTGGAATGCCAAGCCATATAGAAAAACAATGAAATTGGACCCAGTCAAAAAAATCACCTCCAGATGTGTTATAGACATAAACACATAAAGAAAAACTGTAAATATTTTAGAATATAATGTGGGAAAATATCATCATGTCTTTAGGATCAGAAAAATCATTTCCCAAAACACAAAAATCACTAACCTTAATAAAAAATGACTGATATTTTTTTCTACTAAATTAAGTACTTCTGTTTATCAAGACAATGCAGAGAGAGAAAAGATAATCCACAGAATGAGAAAATTATTTGTAGTGGATATAACCAACAAAAGACTAGTACCCAGAACATATAAAGAACCTATAAAAAACATTTTTTTAAAAAGCCAAAACAATTTTTAAAAATGGGAAAAGATTTGAACAAGTGTACTTCACAGAAGAGTAATTCCAGATGATCAGTGCATATGTGAAAATATGTTCAAACTTTTTGTAATCGGAGAAATGGAAATTAAAAACAGAATGAGATCCTACTGCACAACTGTGAAATTGGCAGAAAATAAACAGTCATGACCCAACTAGGTGTTGAAGGGTGCAGAGCTCCCCCCCAGGAGCAGCCAGCCACAGCCTGCCTGCCTGAGTGGAGATCCAGCCACTTTGGAACACAGCTTGGCCGTGCAGTAAATGTGCGGTGCACACACTCACTGTGTGACTAGCATTTGACTCTTAGGGAAATTTCATCTTTGCATATTTCCTAGTAGCCCCAAACCAGAGACAACCCAAATGTCCATTAATGGTAAAACACATGAAGAAACAGTGATCTGTTCATACAATGGAATGCTTTACAGGAATGACAGTGAATGAATGAGTGGGGATCACAATCATATGGATACATTTTATAAACACAGCTTCTCGGAGAGAAGTGAACCACCCCAGAATCCACGTAATTGAGGCATAGCTAACCTCTGTTAGATTTATTCATGAGTGCTAAAACTATAATGCAATCCAAGGAAATGAGTAGCACACGAAAGAAGAGTGTTGGCTTCTGGAGGGGCGGAAGGGAGTGTGATTGGAGGGGCACGGGAGGAATTTTGGGGGAATGCCAATTTTCTGTGTTACGGCCTACACT